TTTGAGGTTCTTTCCAGCTCTTGGCTCGTGCAGAAATAAGGAACCAGGCAGGATTATATAACACTTACTGTGACACTTTAAAAATGTACAAAAAGGGGGCCTGGGTGGCTCAATGGGTTAAGCCGCTGCCTTCGGCTCGGGTCATGATCTCAGGATCCTGGGATCGAGCCCCGCATTGGGCTCTCTGCTCAGCAGGGAGCCTGCTTCCTCCTCTCTCTCTGTCTGCCTCTGCCTGCTTGTGATCTCTCTCTGTCAGATAAATAAATAAAATCTTTAAAAAAAAATGTACAAAAAAGGGGCACCTGGGTGGCTCAGTGGGTTAAAGCCTCTGCCTTCGGCTCAGGTCATGATCCCAGGGTCCTGGGATCGAGCCCCGCATCAGGCTCTCTGCTCAGCGGGGAGCCAGCTTCCCTCTCTCTCTCTGCCTGCCTATCTGCCTACTTGTGATCTCTGTGTCAAATAAATAAATAAAATCTTTTTTTTTAATGTACAAAAAGAGCTCCAACCCAAGTTTTGGAAACTTGGGTTCACATCCTGGTTCTTCCAACTTCCTAGCTAGGAGTGGCCTCAAGTATGCACTTCGCCTCACTGAAAGGTCTCCTTAACTGTAACCTGGAGGGGGTAATGATAGCCTTAGCTCCTGGGACATTCTCAGTGCTCAAGGAGACACTATGCACCGTGCTTAGCACGTAGTAGGTGCTCAGTGAAGCGCTGCATCTTCCTTCCTTTCTCTTCGTAATTCTGTCTACTTCGTGAGTCTTTGCTTTGTGCTACTTCCTGTATATTAACGAATTTAACCCTCACAACAACCCTACGATGGGGCTACTATTTTGTTTTTTAAGATTTTATTTATTTATTTGACAGAGAGAGAGATCACAAGTAGGCAGAGAGGCAGGCAGAGAGAGAGGGGGAAGCAGGCTCCCCGCTGAGCAGAGAGCCTGATGCGGGGCTCGATCCCAGGACCCTGGGATCATGACCTGAGCCGAAGGCAGAGGCTTTAACCCACTGAAGCCACCCAGGCGCCCCGGGGGTACTACTATTACCCCCATTTCAGTGATCAAAGAAACAGGCACAGAGAGAGTAAATGATTGGCCAGGTCAGACATCTAGCAAATGATATCATTAGGAGAAACGCAGCCAGTAAGAGGTGAGGCCAGGATGCACGCTCCATTCTACCCGTTGCTTCCATTTTACAGGTGAGAAAACCGAGGCTCAGAGACATTCCTTTGACTTCAGCATGTCACATAACCAGGGAGAAGCAAAACCAGCTTTCAGAGTGTGTCCACCATCCTCACACCCCCTGCCCTTTACCCTGCCACCGGATTTAAAGAAGAAATATTCGGGTGTTTAGCTCCATTTTAGACATGCGGTGGTTGGGGGGATGGCAAGCAGCCTAGCAAGAGTCTGTTTGGTAACTGGAATGTGAGACCCAAATCCGTTTGCTTCACTGATGCGTGCCAAGTGCCTGGAATAGTGCCTGGCACCTGGTAGGCCCCCGAGCGTAAGTTAGCGTTGGAGGCACGTGGCCAAACTGGAGGTACCATCTGGGGAGTGGATCCGGTGGAAGCAGCGGCTGGGAGCGTTGCTAAGGGCTCGGGATCACGGGCAGCCTCATGGACTCTCAAAATTCTGTACAGGAAGGAGCCACTGCTTTGAGGACTTTGGTCCTTTGAGGCCTGGGGGACCAAGAGGCTCAGTGGGTAGAATTGTGGGCTTTTGCCTATGGCGGAACAGGGTTTGGATTCCTGATCGCCAGCATCTGAGCTTTGTGACGTCAGACAAGTTACTTAAACCTTTCTTTTTGATACGTTTTCCCTAAAGTGTACTGGGCTTACAAGACGTGTACAAATCCCAAGTGTTCTGTCTGTTGAATGTTCACAAACGGAACACACCCATGTAATCGGCACCCAGATCGAGAAGCACTGTATGAGTGGTGTCCCACAAGCCCCCTTGTTCCTCTTTCTGGTCAGTATTGCCCCTCCAGGAGTGACCGTGATTCTGACTTCTACCACTGTAGATTACTTTCAGTTGTTTTTGAACATTTTGTGTTCTTACGTGTGTGTTTTCTTCACTTTACACAACATTTATGAGATACGTAAGTATTCTCTGTGTGGTTGACGATCGTTCATTCTTTGCTGTCTAGAACTCTGTTGTGTGAATATACTACATTTTGTTAATCTCTTCCACTATTGATGGGCCTCTGGATAGGTCCAGGTTTTGGCTGTTATGGGAGCGTTGCTGTGAACATCCCTGCACATCTTTTGGGGCACATCAAATCATGCACATTTCAGGGTGCCTGGCTGGCTCAGGGCACGCAATTCTTGATGTTGAGGCTGTGAGTTTGAGCCACACATTGGGCATAGAGTGTACTTACAAATTTCTTTAAAAAAAAAAATCATGCACATTTCCTGTTGGGGAGATACCTCAGAGTGGACTTGCTGGGGATGCCTATGTTGAATTTCAGTGGTTGATGCCAAATAGGTTTCCAAAGTGGTTATATGAGATTTCTAGTTGCTTTACATTTTTGCCAATACTTGATTTTTAAATGTTTTTCTTTCATTGTAGACATTCTGGTACATGTGTATAAAAAACATATGATGTTTTTTATTTGCATGTCTCTGATGACTAATGAGCATGAACACCTTTTCAAATGCTTCTTAGCCATTGGATAGCTTCTTTTATAAAATGCTTGTTTGAATCTTTTGTGCACATTTGAATTGAGTATTCTGAGCTCTTTCTCACTGACTTATAGGAATTCTTTTATATTCTGGTTACAAATCCTTTGTCCATGGTCAGATAAGCATATTGTAAATATGATTCTCCTCTGAAGGTCACTTTTTCATTCTTTCAATCAAATCTTCTTTAAGATGAATGGAAGTTCTTTTTTTTTTTTTTTTAATATTTTATTTATTTGTCAGAGAGAGAGTGCGTGCACACAAGCAGGCTGGCTCCCTGCAAGGAGCCCGATGTGGGACTCGCTCCCAGGGCCCTGGGATCATGACCTGAACTGAAGGCAGACACTTAAAGACTGAGCCACCCAGGCATCCTGTAGAGAAGTTCTTTTTTTTTTTTTTTTTTTTTTAATGTAATCTCTACACCCAACACAGGGCTTGAACTCACAACCCCGAGATCAAGTATTGTACTCTCCACCAATTGAGCCAGCCAGGTGCCCCAAACACAAGATCTTAATTTCGACGTAGTGCAATTATATCAAATCGCTCTTTTATGATTTGCCCCTAGTTTCAGAAATCTTTGTCTACTCCAGAGTCATGAAGTTGTTCTCTTATTATTTTTAATCCAGAACTTTTGCATTTGGAATGACAATCTGAAATTGAATTTGCATTTGGTGGGAAATGGGGGTACAGAAACATTTTTCCCCATCTGTGTATACACAGTGGACTTAGCCCTGTTTGTTGGGAGAAAACCATCTTCCTTCATGTCACTGTAACTGTGGTGTTGACATGAACCCCTTGATCATTTACATGTCGGGTCTGTTTCTGGATTCTCTTTTCTGTTTTGTTGATCAGCATTTTTTTTTTTTTTAGATTTTATTATTTATTTGACAGAGATCACAAGTAGGCAGAGAGGCAGGCAGGCAGAGAGAGAGAGGAGGAAGCAGGCTCCCCGCTGAGCAGAGAGTCTGATGCGGGGCTCAATGCGGGGCTCGATCCCAGCCAGGACCCTGGGATCATGACCTGAGTTGAAGGCAGAGGCTTTAACCCACTGAGCCACACAGGCGCCCTGGTCAGCATTTCCACCCTTGCACCCAAACCAGGCCCTTCTTCAGTACTAGTGCTGTATCATTCTTTTTTTTTTTTTTTTAAAGATTTAATTTATTTATTTGACAGACAGAGATCACAAGTAGGCAGGGAGGCAGGCAGAGGGAGAGGAGGAAGTAGGCTCCCTGCTGAGCAGAGAGCTCCATTTGGGGCTCGTTCCCAGGACCCTGGGATCATGACCTGAGCCGAAGGCAGAGGCTTAACCCACTGAGCCACCCAGGCGCCCCGTATCATTAGTCTTGATATCTAGTGATGTAGGTCCTTTAGCTTTTCCCTTCAGGAATGCCTTGGCTATTCTTTGTTCTTTGCATTTCTGTATAAATTTTAGATTGAATTTGTCAATTTCATTCCCCTCCACCCCAAAAAACATACTGGGATTTTTGACTGGCATTATGTAAATGTATAGGTTGATTTAAGGAGAATAAATCCTTTTCTAATGCTGAGTTTTTTAACCCATGAATACAATATATTTCTGCATTTCATTACCTCTTAAAATTTTTATTATGAAAAATTTCAAACATACAGTAAAGTGGGAAATACGATGAATTTCTGCATGTTCACCATCTAGATTCAATAGTTGTTCTTAGTGTCTCTTATTTGTATCACATATACTTAAGAATTATTTTTTCTTTAATTTTTTTAAAGATTTTTTTTTTTTAAGATTTTTAAGTAATCTCTATACCTGCCATGGGGCTAGAACTCACAATCCTGAGATCAAGAGTCACATGCCCTTCTGACTGAGCCAGCCAGGTACCCCTGTACTTATGATTCTTATTAAGCCATTTCATAGTAAATCATAGACATTATAGACACTTTATCCATAAATACTTCAACATGTATCTTCAAAATCTAGAGACAGCCTCCCACATGGCCACAATTCCTTTATGACAGCTAGGAAAATTAATAGTTCCCAAATTTCTAATATCCTTAAGTCTTCCCAGGGCTCCTTCTCAAAGTTGTGTAAAGCCAGTGCTGTGAGAGCCAGTGTGTAAAGCTTTAGCATGGGGCTTGGCACACAGCTGCTTTCGGCAGGTGGTTGTGGATCTTAGTATCTGTCCCTGCCTTGGGCCCGCATTTTATCCCAGTGGCTTGTTCCCAGGAAGTGCTTTCCCTAAGGCTTCTCTTGTCCCTGCGAGGCAACAGTGGCTTACCCACCCCCCCGAGCTGGCGCTCCTGGCTCTGGGCTTGAACATCCCCCATCTTCCTCTCCTCCCATCTTCAGATAACACAGGCAGTTCCACATACCGGCCACCACCTCGGACCCGGGAGGTGATGATCAACGGGCAGATGGTCAAGTTGAAGTATTGCTTCACCTGCAAGATGTTTCGGCCACCCCGGACCTCACACTGCAGTGTCTGTGACAACTGTGTGGGTAAGTGGGAGGCAGCAGGGAGCCCTGGAGACAGGGGAGTCGCTCACGGGGGTGGGGCTGTGTCTGAATCATCCAGAGGTGGGCAGGAAGTCTGGTGCACCCAGATTTGCCCTGACTGAGGAGGGGCTGTAGGGAGAGGCGCAGAGTATGACCAGTGGTATCTTGGCTTCGGCCCAGGATCGTTAGATTCCTGGAATCCCCCAGATTCTGCCAGAAAGAGAGTGGTTTGCTATCCCGTGGCCTAGGGCCAGCGATTCCACATGACTTTGATCTGATTCCCAGGGTCTGGGAGGGACAAGAATCTGGGAACAGAGTTCGAGCTCTTAAGGTGGAGAGGCTGAGCCAGGATCGGAAACTCCTGACCTACCACTGCAGTCGTTGCTGGGGAACCAGAGGCTGTTTTGTCTGGTCTCTGTGCCCGTCAGAGGCCCAGCGGCCCTGATGAGGACTGAGGGTGTGCCCCTGGGAGGCTGTCATAAGGGAAATGCTATGCAGGAGGACCCAGGCAAGCTGAGCCATGGTGACTCTGCACAGTCCCTAGGCAGTGAGCTCCTCACATTAGCTCAGCACTCCCCAAGTGACGGAACAGCAGGGAACACCCATGACGGTAGGCGGGAAGAGGGTGACTCAGTGAGCGTTACTCATCCCCGAGAATCCACCCCACCCGCCCCCTGTGAAGAGTGCTGGCCCTGGTGTGAGGCCTGCAGTGGGCTTGTCATTCATATTCTCACAGAGGACTTTCCTTACCAGTCTGGGCGTGATCCGCTGCCCCTGGGGACATAGTGAGCTGGTGTGAGCTCAGCCCTCTGCTCGAGCCTCTCATGCCAGCCTGCCACAAGTGACAGAGTAGGCCGGCCCCTCCCTGGGCCTGTAGATCTAGAACAAGGAACGGGGATCATTGGTCCATGTGGCCAGGGTCATAGGCCAGGCAACAAGTACTTTTTTGTGGATCTTTGTACCAGGCACTGCTGGACCCTGGGGATCAGCTCAGTGTGAGGCCAAAACAGGCCCCCTCATGGAGTCTACAGTCGAGCAGGGGTCCTTGGGCAGGCCACTTATTATAAATAAGTATGAAAACACACGGGCTAAGAGCTGCAAAAAATAAGTCACGGGGCAGATAACAGAGCCCTCCCCCGTCTGGGATCAGAGGAGGCTTTCGTAAGGGAGTGGCTTTGTAGCTGAAACGTGATATCCATGATATGAGACATGCAGCTTAACCAGGTGAAGAGACCGAGAATGTGAGGCACTAGGAACCTGTGCAGAAAGGTCCAGAAGTGGGGGGCGTCCAAGGACCTGTGAGTGGGCTGGTGTAGAGAGAGTCGGGAGGAGGAAAACCCCAGCTGTGGCGGGCGGCCTCTAAACACCTGTGCCGGTTGCGGGCCAGGCACACTAACCTATCTTCCCTGGCCCTTTTCCAGAACGGTTTGACCATCACTGTCCCTGGGTGGGCAACTGTGTGGGGAGACGGAACTACCGCTTCTTCTATGCGTTTATTCTCTCCCTCTCATTCCTGACGGCCTTCATCTTCGCCTGTGTGGTCACCCACCTGACGCTGCGTGAGTGGGGCTGGGGGTGGGAGGGAGCAGGGAGGGGCGGGCCAGCAAGCTCGGCCAAGTCAAGGGGCTGTGGTCATCATCTCTCTGAGCTGTGCCCTGTCCTGTTTTTTTCTTCCCCAGGCTCTCAGGGAAGCAACTTCCTCTCCACTCTGAAGGAGACACCAGCAAGATATCCTTTGTCAGCTGGTGGGAACAAGGCCCCCTTACTGGGGTGGGTCCCCACACCTCCTGGAAACAGAGGGGAATGGTGTAGAGCCAGTGCTTGTCCTCAAGAATAATCTGCTGTCCCAGCTGCTTCTGCTCCCGCCAGGCTAGAACTGATCCTCAGTGGCCTGATCAGGGGGCTGGGGTGGCCGAGAACTCTCAGGAGCCACAGTCCCTGTCTTCCCTTAAGACACCAAGCTCCCTGGACTGTGTCCTGTGTGGGTTTCTTGGTGCCTGGAATCCTCATTTCCCTCTGCCATCCATCACCCATCCTGCCCTTAAAGGGGCTCCCAAGTCCTCCATAGGGACCAGGAGGTGATCCTGCTGAGAAGTGGTGAGCGGACAGGAAGGTTACAAACTCCCTTTCTTTCTAAGGAAATAGCTCATGGAAGGATAGGGGAGAAAGGCGGGGTGTGGCCAGCTCCCAGGCTCAAGGGAGGCTCCCAGCCCTGTCCCCATGTGGGTCCTTGACCACCTTGCTCACTGTGCTGGAGTTGGTGATCTGCTTCTTCTCCATCTGGTCCATCCTGGGCCTCTCAGGGTTTCATACTTACCTCGTCGCCTCCAACCTGACAACTAATGAAGACGTGAGTAGGGCTGGAGCCATCCCCATGCCTGGGCAGGGTCCTGGGAAGGAGGCAGGGTGAGGGCCTGTGGCAGCCTCAGTGCACTTGACTCTCAGGCTGCTGGGGTCCCACGGGCGGAGACGGAAGGCCGCCAGACGTTGCCTTACAGCGCCCACGGCTTGGCCCTGGGAGACCCAATGCAGGCTTCTAAGGCCCCCACGTGCCTCGGACCCTTGGCACGGGCTTTCTCGCTAACCCAGAGGCAGTGCTGCCCTGTAAGCCATTACACTGGCCAGCGTGTGACCGTTTCCAGAGTTCTTTTGGGTTCCTTTTGCCAACTCTGAGGCAGAAGGAAAAGGGATGCTTTTCTCCCGTTTGATGGCTGAGTGACTTGCTCCAAGGTCACACAGCTGGAAAGGGACACAGCCAGGGTCATGGCCGTAAGCCAAGGCTGGGCTTTGCTGTGCCCCCACCACACTGCCCTTAGAGCCAGAAGAGCTGTGACGGTTGTCAAGGTATCTGTGGGGCTCCCTTATTGAGGGGCACAGTGAGGACAGAACCGTGAGGCTGTCTTGCAGATCTCCACCAGCAAGCATTGTTTGAGCACCCCCTGTATGCCTAGCCCTGGGCTGGCCCTGACATCCCCTTCCTGGTCTCGCAAACAGTAAGAAAGCAAACGAGAGCATCTGTGTCCAGGACGCCATCACATACTGCTCAGAGGCCTGTGACCAACAGAAAGTACATTTTTTCACCTCAGCCTCTCATTCCGGGAAACAAAACTGAGCACTCCTGTTGGGGGATCGTGTGCTGGGTGACTGGTACCAAGCAGAAATGACCTCAGCCAGCATCTCCCAAGGCAGTCTCTAGATCTTCGGCATGTTCCTAGGGGTTAAGTGGAATGATGTGTGATGGACAAATAAGTTTGGAAAACTCTGGGTTAAAGCCAAGCAGGTATCCTTTGTTCCTAAACTCCCCAGGGCCTTTGATAGCTGGCTTCGTGAATCTAGAGACGGGCAGGATTTCATTGAATGCTCCACTGATGGTATCTGAGTTCCCTACTTTTCAAATGAGGACTGAGATCCAGAGAAGTGGCCTGCCCAGGGTCATCAGTGTGTCGGCGGCAGGGCCAGTGTTCGTGGGCAGGTCAGCCTGAGCCCCTGGCCCCTTGCACGACCTTCACTCATGGGTGGCTGGCCAGAGAAGAGAGGCTGCGCCCAGAAGGCTGTCTTTGGAGACTTCTCTGGCTGGGCTGTTTTCTGTTCTGATTAGGGCTTCTTCCTCTCTGCCAGGGCCACCCCACATCCAGCAGTCCCCCACACTCACTGAATAGCCCGGGTTAAAGGCACATTCCCTCCAGTAATCTATCCAGAGCTGGCTTCAGAATTCACCAGTTTTTCCCAGCCTCTAGGAAATGGAAAGCAAATGGAAGCAAAAGGAGGTACCTGACTCAGACCTCCTTCCTGCCGGCAGATCAAAGGCTCGTGGTCCAGCAAGAGGGGCGGTGAGGCCTCCGTCAATCCCTACAGCCATAAAAGTGTTATCACCAACTGCTGTGCTGTGCTCTGCGGCCCCCTACCTCCCAGGTAAGCCAGGGTGCCAGAGAGAGGTCGCAGGGCCTGGCCTGGCCAGTGCGGGGCAGCCCTGTGAGTCCACAGCTCTCAAAGAGGTTCTGGAAGCAGCAGACCTTTCCTCACACCACAGAAACCTTCTGTCCACCATCCCCTGCAGAGTGCACTCAAGGTGTTTGTCACATAAAAGAATTCTATGTGATTGTTAATCATATATGCTCATTGTAGAAAAAAAATTAAGTGTAAAATATTAAGAAGAAGAATATTAGATATCCCGGTTATCTTATTCGCCAAGGATCACCACAACAAATGTTTTGGCCACCCTTGAGCAACCCCTCCCTTCTGGTGCTGATGGCCTCCATGGTCCCTCCTGGCAGGAAGAGCCCTGGTGGCTCAAGCCCACTGGGCAGTGCCCCTCCGTCTTCACACCAGGGGGCACCAGAGTGCCAGAACAGGAGTTAAGTTGCAGTGGCCCCTGCGGATGGAGACTTCACACACTGTCCACCCGACACCACCCCCCGCCCCGCTTCTCCTATCATGCTTGCGATGGCAGGGCCAGTAACAGTGGGCGTCTCACTCTTTGATCCTGCTCTTCCCCTTCCCCGCAGCCTGGCTCTGTGGCAGCCAGATGGCAAAATGGGCCGCTTGGAATGAAGAGTGAATAAATCCAGTGGCCAAAACCAGGTGTCCAGAGTGCAGAGAGGGCCTTTCTGGAAGGAAAGGGTCTTGAACCCTCAACTGGAGATCAGCTCCCCTTTCTCAGGCTTTGTAGGACTGGATCTTTCCTTGGTTGGGAAATGGACTCTGCCACTCAGCCCCCAGCCTGGATCACTGGTATTGGGCAGGGGCCCTCACGTGTCCCCTCTTGTGTTTTGGAAGCCTGATTGACCGGAGGGGATTTGTGGAGCCCGACACCGTGTTGCCCTCGCCCATCAGGAGCGATGAGCCAGCCTGTGGAGCCAAGCCCGACGCCAGCATGGTAGGAGGCCACCCCTGACCTGGGCTCATACTCGCCACCTGCTGGCCTGTCCACCCCTCCGCACTCACCTGCCGCCCTCCACACCTGCCGGGACCCTCCCCATTCCACCCAAGGGAAGCAGAGCTGCCAAAGACTCTCGTATTTATTTCCCACCCTGCGTGGCTTTCCCCACACTTCCATGGCTGTACCCTCTGCTCCCCAAACCCAAGTTCCCACAGCCTTCGGCCCGAGATGTCTCCCAACTGATTAGTGGCAGGAGTGACAGGAGAGAGAGGCCAGGGACCCTGAGGCTGCGAGGGGACGTTGCCAAGTCTCTGGCTATGCCAGAGCAAGCCTCGCGTGAGTGAGGGAGCTGACTGAGTGCGATACCTCCCAGGTGGGGGCGCTGCTGGGCTCTGCTCAGCCCGGGACCTGGGGGTGAAGCGGGACCCAGGAGCATTCCGCTCTGGACAGCAGGCTATAGAAGATGCCTCCTCTGTGGGCTGCTGTGGTGTATGGACTCCTTCATTCCTTCTGTGATGATCATTGTTCTTTCTTCTGTTTTTGTTCTTGTTTTCTGTATGGAGTTGGCCAATAGGATAGAACTGGGGGTACAGATAGAAAGGGCAGAGGTGGGGGCAGGTGGGCTACAGCCTGTGTCAGAGGAAGCGACACCAGCCAGCCAGGTACCCAAAACCTCAGCTCCTGCATGGTCCCGGGCCACACGCTAGGAACTGGGGGCCTTGACCTCTCACTACCCATGGCGGGTTTCTCTAAGAGATCCCAGTCTGGCCCCCCATCTCTCTCCCAAGTCGGTTCTTGGGCTGGGCGGTTGTACTCATGCTGGCAATACTTGAAATGGGTTTATTAATGCTGGGTATTTTGCACAATTTTATAGACCTCTTTTCTATGTAGCATTTTTTTAAACGGAAGAAGAAAAAAAAAGTCAGCCACGTTGCTATCTGTGTAGTGCCAGGTTAAGGATTATCAGAAGGCAAGTTGGTTTTAATAAATTTATAAGAGAACTTCTGGCTGTGAACGTGTGAGTGTGAGTGTGTGTGTGTTCGCATGTGCTCTTGTACGAATGTGGCTGGCTCCCACTTCCCTACATCCCCTAGGCTGCCCCTCTCCCCACCATCCCCCTCCAGCGTCAGCCAGCAGCAGCAGGAGCCGCCTGAGTCGTGGCCACAGGGATCCCGTGCCTTGATCACAGGAGCCCCCTGGGTTCCCGCCGAAACTCAGCCCCCTTCCTCCTGTCTTTGCTTCTTCTTCGGACATTAGGAAGCCTGGGACCTGCCCAGACAGGCTGAGGCTGGGCGTGGTGGATGGAGTAATGGCTACGGGGAGCGGCTGCCGTTCTATAAGCCACACTCCCTCCTCTGGGCTCTGAGTATGGGACCTAGTGCCAGTGGCCAGAAGACAGGGAGTCTCTGCCAACTGGAGGACCCCGTCCAGAGAAAAGGGAGGAAAGAGCAGGGTGGTCCAAGAGGCAAGTGAAGTTTGGCCTAAATCTAGGTCAGAAGCTCAAAGGATGTCTCTTCTCTGCTGGAAATTATAGCTTCTTGTCGAAATAGATAGGAAATTGTCCCACCCCCTCCTTGGCTCTTCAGGTGGCCTGAAGACCTTGGAAACCAATGAGGAAGTCCTCGTGTCTTGCCCTTCCTTGCTGCAAAGGCTAATGGGTCACAGGCAGCTGAGAAATGACAACCCCAGAGGATCCCCTCTGGGAGAAGCAGCTCTACCCTAGTGTCAGGACCCTGGGCCAGGCTACAGTGGGGAGGGAGCTGGCTAGAGGAGGGGACTCCCACGTGCCTTTTATTTAAGCCAGTATTCTTTGTTCCTGCTTGTAATAAAATTTTTGTTTTTAAGAGTTGATTTGCTTTGGTTTGGTTTTTGTTTGCTCTTTCTTTGCTGAGGCTCCAACTGGCAGCCAAACTCAGTCTTTCCTGGGGAGGCAGAAGGCAGGAAGCCCAGAGATACAGCTAACGTGCTCCTCTCCTGGCTGAGTCCGCCTGCTTGAGGTGGAGCAAGGGGGCGAGGTCCCCATAGGCATGGAAGAAGAGGCCATCCTGGCCCCTCCTTGTCCCCTCCGTTTTTCCCCTGCCTCGGGGACTTGGAGACTCCCAAGTTCTTTTTCCTTGCTGTGTTTTCACTCTGATCCCCAGGGACTGCCCAGCTAAGAAAACGTTTCTGAGACCGTAGTTTCCAGTTTGTGAGTCAGAGCCTCCCCGGCCCCCAGCCCCACCTGGGCAGCAGGGCCCAGCCAGACAACTCATAACTCCGGCCCGCCTCTCTGGTATCTCCCCCAGGAGGACACCTGTCAGGATTTTGCCATCTCCTGCACAGCCTGAGGGGAGCTAACAGGCCTCTTTGCAGAGGGTTAGCTGGTAAGATCGTACCTCCCCCGTCAGCCAGCACTGCCCGCTCCCCTCACACACCATCTCATCCTCATCGCATGCCTCGCCAACCCCGTGGAGCCCATTCATCTGTCTGGTGTGTGGTGTGGTGCGTGTGCTGGCGGTGGTAGGGCCGCCAGGGCTTCCCCCTAAACAGAAGGATCGGGGCCTGAGGGCGGGGCTAAGAGCCCAGCCCTGCTCTGGACTGAGGAAGTAGCTTCATGCAGAGCCACTCTCCCACTCAAGCAGGAGGAGAAGGGTGAGGTTGGGGAGAGGGTGGCCTTCCTGCTCTGAGGTGCTGGGGCCTGCCCTGGTGGTGTCCTGGTGTGCAGGAGCCCTCAGTCACTAACACTTGTGTCCTGGCTTTCTGTCCCTGCTGAGCTCTCTCCTGCTTCGTTGCCTGCCGCCCAAGCCTCGGCCCTTCTGTGGGGAAGAGGCAGGTGCTGGGGTAGCACCTGTCCCCGCCAGCAACGCTGCAGGCCCCCTGCCCTGTCCTCGCGAGCCCGCTAACCCTCTCTCTTCTCCTTCTTTGCTGTCCTGCTGGGATCTCCAGTGTGTGCGGGGGCTTAAGGACCTCCTGAGGACCGCTGCTCTCTGCTTCTCCAGGAGCGGCCTGAGGGGAGCCAGGCACCCGGCCCCTCCACCTGCCTAACCTGTGGCCCATCTGCCACCGTCTGTGCCTACAGGGTCTGCCCCCAAGCCTACCCCACACGTGTGCTCTCCAGAGCCCCCCCCGCAACAGGGGGCAGGGGCTGGCCTCTTGGCCCCCACCCCCACTCCATGCCAGCCAGAGTGTAGAAAGCCATATCGCAGCTGTCAGCACAATGATACAATACTATGCTGAAACTTGCCCCCCTTCCACTTCGCGTCCCCTTCCCCAGATCTGTAAGGTGTCGAGACTCTTCAGGAATCCGCCTTACAGCCTGCCCCCTTCCAGAATCAGGCATAGCTGTAGCGGGGCCGAGCAGGTTTCTTCAGGAGCCTCTGGGGTGTTGGTTGAGGACGCTGCTGAACAAGTTTGGTGACTGTTCTAAGCACAACCGGTTTGACACTGTTCCCACGGCCCCTCTATCCCCACTACCCTGAGTAGGTAAGATGCAAGGAGGACGCTTGTTCCCTTTGCCCCAGGCGCTGAGGGCCTGAGCTAGCCAGGTCTGACAGCCCGGCGTTCTTCAGAGGACCTCAAGGGAGCTGGGCTGGGCCACGGAAATCTGCCCAGTCCATGGCTGGGGGCCGCTTGTCTGCTGTCCTGTACCTTTTTTAACCGAAATAAAGATTTCCCTCTTCTTGCCATATCCTTGGGTGTCTGGTGCCACCTTTACTCTGGGGTCTGGGGGTGAGGCCTGTGATGAGTGCGCGGAAGGTCTGGCTTACCCTCTCTGCCAGCTTTGTTCTAGTTGGTTAGTACCATTCCGAGATTTAAAGATTGATTGATTTAGCAGGGGGTGGGGGGGAGGGGCAGAGGGAGAGAATCTTCACACTGAGTCCCCGCTGAGCGGGAGCCAGATGCAGGGAGGTCATGACCTAAGAGGAAACCAAGAATCAGTCACTCAACCTACTGAGCCACCTATGCGCCCCACCCCCCCTTCCTGGAGATTTAAAAGAAGAAGCACAGTGAAGCCAGAAGTGACACCGGAAGAGTAGCCAGTGTCCTCTTCAGTCTGCTCTTCTAGAACTGGTCTCAGTGCCAGAGGCCTTCAAGCCTTATGTGACCTCAACTCTGAACAGTGCCAACCCAAGCAGGGACTGTTACCCCTTGCACTGAACCTAGCCCAGGTTAACAATCTCATGGAACCTTCCCTTCCCCCAGCAGCTGCCCCACATTGAGATACGCACACCGTATGCTAAGAGCTAGAAAATAATTACCGCAGCCATTTAGCAAGCGCTAACCGAGTGCCAGGCCCATTTTTTTCACCTAAACCTATGAGGAAGGTGATGTCAGCATTTTTTTTTACAGATGAGGGAACTGAGGCACAAGGAAGGCACAGGAGTTGTGCAGGGTCTCCCGCTGATAAGGCAGCAAATCGAGGATTTGAACCCAATCCTCTGACCCCTCTACACTACCCAAGGAATGACTAGGGCTCCTTCAGGGTTAGGGACTCTCAGAGGGAGAAACCCAATTAGAAGCTGTTATTCACAGCCATCAGAGGGCTTAGAGGTGATCTGTGCTGGCCTCCTTGTACTGATGGGGAAACTGAGGCTTAGAGGCAAGATGGGACCTTCCCTTCTCCCGAAAGTCCTTAAAACAGAGTTGGGATGCAGTCCCACAGCCCGACATTCCCTTCTCTTTCCACCAACTCCACACTGTGACCTAGACTGGACTGGTCTAGATGTGGTATACACTAAACAGTGCCTTGAGGAGAAAAAGACTCGGGATAGCTGAGTCACTTAAAAGTAATCTAATATTCCCTCCCAAAGGCAACTAGTAGAGTGAACCCTTGACTGGATAACTGACGTCTTGTTTACAACTAACCAGGGGGAGAAGTGTCATACCTCCCTCCAGTCACTTGTTTAATTTGATCATTCCAAGACTGGAAGAAATTTCATAGGAAGACCTTTTCTGGATTCTAATCACTCCCTCCCACTGTACTCAGAGTCCTGTCTGTTCTCAGTGGAGCTAGATAGCAACTGGCTGCTGCCTTCTCTGTCACAAGCCTGTGATTATCGCTTGCCTCTTGAACATGCCATGGGGATGGATGCTATATGGAGGAGAGCGGGCAGGATGAGGAAAGCCCCTTGAGCCACAGCCCCGACTCCTGTCCTGCTGACTCAGGCTGCTGACAGTGGAGCTCTGTACCCTGCCAGGGCCTGCCGTCTCCTGCCTGCCTGGGCTCCTGGACTTGGGAAACGGAGGCCTGGAGGCAAAGGGAGGTGTCTGAGACAGGAACTGAGTCAGGATCGACAGGCTAGAGCGGGCAGGAGGTACCCTGGCTCCCAGATTCACCCCTAAGCTTCGGCAGGTGAAGGGAGGAGGAGTGAAGAGGCTTCCTTTCACTCTTCTCTCTTCTGGCTGTGCTGAGGGCATGGAGCTTGTGGTCTCCACCACCACATCTCCTGGCTTGAGTGACAGGTAGGGAATGCTGCCTTCCTAGAAACAGAGCACCTCCAAAATTCCTAGGCCTGCCAGGCCCTTCCAGGTTTCTGGTGCTCTGGGATCTCTAGCTTTCCCCCAGGACTTGGGAAAGCCTGAGCTGAATGACTAGTACAAAGGAAGGTCCTTGAGGGCCTCAGGCCTGTGTAGGCCAGAGGAATGTCTGCTGGAGAGGGAGGAGGCAGTGCTGAGTGAGCACATCTGACCATTCATCTGTCTTCCTTCTCCTAAGGACACTCAACTGGGGAGGGTCCAGTCCTCAGGTAAGGCTTGGTTTGGGACCCTGTGTCATTTCACAGAACCCAGCCCCATGTTAGTGCTTTGAGGGTATGTGGTTATAATAATGAGATTGGTTGGATTTTTTTCATATGATAATAACAGTTACCATTCACTCTACTAAGTGCTTTTCCATCAACTTATTTAATCTTCACAACAAACCCCCTTTTACACTTAGGAAGACAGAGGCTTACAGAGGTTAGGTCACTTGTCCAAGGCCATACAGCTTCTAAAAATTAAGCCCAGGCAATCTGATTCCAAAGATACTAGGCTATTCTAGCTTTTATAGAAAAATAATACATATCTACCATTGAAGAAAATAGGAAAATCAAAAGGAAAAAAATCACTTGGAATACCACTACCTAAAGATATGCTCTATTAAATTAGTACTTTAATGCATTTCCTTTCCATCATTTTCTGTGTGGGTGATCCCATCTGAGCAAAGCCTTAGAGAATGTCAAGCCTAAAATCCCTTCTGTTTCCTTGGAAAACCTGTAGTATCTGCCTAGGCATGCTGCTACTTTTCCTTCAAAGAGGCAGATCTCCTCTTTGGCCCTCAGAGTTCTGGCCTAAGCCTCCCTCCAAGAGGGGAAGGTGGGCATTAAGGCTCCAACCAAGAGGAACCAGGGAGAGACAGACCTGTGAAATGGCCCTGGCACCCAGATTAAGCTGGCTGGATCCCAGTGAGGGAAGCCCCACCCTCGAGCCCCATCTGAGCTTTGGCTAGGGGTGGGGCAGATAAGGAGGAACCTACCCTCATGGGCAGGGTGCCGACACCTTCAGGTGAAACTCCTGGCTGAATGAGAACAGCATCCCAGCAAACAGGGACAGAAGGTTGGCAAGAGAGAAGCATCCCATCTCTGAGGCCTCTGCCAGGGGTCAGAGGGAGGGCTAGAGTCAAAGGGAAGGGACATGGAAATTTCTAAGAGGCAGGCTGGGGGAGGCAGCACTCACCTGGGACTGCTACCCCATAAAACAAAATGGTATGTGTCACCACCACCTTCTTTATCTCGGTCCTGTCTCTCTCCCCAGGTGCTAGCGTCCCCCACTGGGGATCCAAAGTGGGCTGAGCACCCAAGTGGCCTGCTTCCCAGTCTTTGACAGAGGGCAGG